GGGCGTGTCCTCTTACAGGGGCATTGTGGACAAAAAATCAAAAGTATTCAAAAAATACTCAAGCATAATTCAAAATAGGTAATCAAATCGTCCCCAAACTATTTTATTATTATTTTTTTGATTTTCCTCTTGTCGAGGGACAGGCCCGACTTAACCCTAGGTCAGCTGTGCTGCCCGACGACAATGCACAGGTGGAAAGAGGGACAGCATGCAAGCGCTGGCGGACGCGCAGGCGATAAGGCCCGGATACGCCCCAGGCTCTCCCCTCCGGAGCCGAGCCTTTCCCTTCGGGGAGCCCCCCATCGTCTTTCCCTGCGCACCCCATCACTAACACCCTAAACCCTAACACCATGCCCCGAACACCCTACCCCTCATGCGCTAACCCCTAACACCGTAAGCCGTGGCACATTAACACTCACATCCTAACATCCTGACCGTGACACCCTATATCTAACACGATAGCCGATACCACCCCTACTGTCCTGACGCAACCACATAGACACCTAACATCGTAACGCTCTAACCCTAACGCACTAATACCTCATACCCCAAGGAGGAAGGAGCAGAACAAGGGAAAGGTGCTGGCGCAGGCAGGCGCGTGCGCGGGTCGCGGCACCGCGGCTCGAGGAATTAGAAGTGCCCAGTATCCTTTCGGCAGCACTCGCGACTGACGACTCCCAGGCCATCCCAAGGACGAGGTGTTGGCGGATGCGCGTCACCGCGCACAGGTGGGCGGATACGCGCGGCCGCGCAAAGTGGTAGGCCGTCGCCAGACGAACCGCGCCGCACCTCGGGGTACCGCGCGGCTGGGGCGGCCTGCAGTCACTGCGTCGCTGGGCGCCGCGCGGGGCGGGCAAGGCTGCCCGGCGACGGACAGGAACGGATGGGGAGGGCCCCGAGATCTTGGCATTGCAACTTTTCCGAGCCGGGCTTGCAAAACCCGTTCTCGGGCACTGGGGCCCTCACGGAAAGAGCCGGCTCGAAGACGGCGCAGAAACATGGGGTCCAGGCCTGCAGGCGTGACCCTTGACGATGTTGCACTTTTTCGCGACGTCGGGTCTCTGGGGGGGGAGGCAGGCTGGCGACGACTCGCCGACTTCGACGGGCGTGGTTGGCAAAGGGCGTGGTTTGCAGCTGGCGCCAGGCCAGGGGGGGGCGGGCGAGGACCACGACAGGGATCTTTGGACAGGGATCTTTGCATCGCCCTGGCGAGGGCTCACCGAATCTTTGGCTCAACGTGGTGAAACCTTCAGGCCCCAACGGCGCCAATCGCAAACCACACCCCGGCGTAACCACACACATTGTAGTCGCCGAGTGGGGAAGGGGGGGGAGGCATTCAGGCGGCGACGAACGCGCAGGCGTGAAGGGCCTGGGCTGCCGGGGAGACGCGGGCGGGCGGGGACGGGCGGCGGCAGGAGAAGGGGGGAGGACAGGCAGGAAGCAGGGGCGGGGGTTAGGGGCGCGCGCACCTCCCCCCACAGGTGCGCCCAACCACTGGGCTGCAGGTGGGGCAGGATCCGCGAGAGATGTGTACCGAAATGGGCGCGGCGCAGCCGTGCGAACTGGCCAACTGAGGTCGCACATACAGCTCCTGGTAGGGCACGATCCGCGTGAGGGTCGTGCCGACGTGCCGAACTGGGCGCGGCGCAGCCATACGAACTGGCCTCAATGGGGAAACAGACGCGGGGCGGCACACACCCACACCCACAGTGGCCGCAAGGGAAGCTCCCTATGAGGGCGCCACGCGTGCGAGGGGCGCCGGGATGGGCGCAGGGCGGCACACGCCCACACACACTGAGACCGCAGAGAGACAACTCCCTACGAGGGCACGATGCGTGAAGGTGGTGTGCCGAAGTGGGCGCGCGGCGGCCCGCACGCGCACCCACCGGGGCCGCAGGGGAGAGCTCCCAGTGGGGGCACGAGGCGGGGCGGCTTGCGCCCACGCCCGCTGTCGGCACAGGTGGAGCTCCCCACGAGGCACGACACGCGTGAGGGTGTGCCGGAAAGGGCGCGGCGTGGCATGCGCCCACGCCCACCGTGAGCTGCCTACAAGGACACAACACAAACGAGGGGCGTGGCGAAATGGGCCTGAAGTTGCTGTCGACTGAACCAAGCTCTTGTCTGGGATGTGATGTCCAACTCGCTGTCGTTGCTGTAATAATCGTGTAGCACTTATGTCATACTATGCTGGTTACATCGTGCTCAGTGTGTTATATGATGATATGCTCTGTTATGTCATGGTACCCCCATGCTATATGTTCAAGTTTGCGATGAAAGAATCTCGTCTAGGTAAACATCGCAACATACTTATGGTACGTTACTCTGGAAAATGTGATGAAGTACTATTTTACGTTCCGCTATGTCCTGGTATGCGTTGCTATGTTGCGTTATGTGTTTCTCTGCTCCGCGATGGCATTTAAGTGTATGGTCGGATATGATATGTTATGTTTTGCTCGCTCATACGATGATATGCCGGACTCTGTCGTGTCATGCTTTGTCATGGGTTGGAATGCTCTATGCTGAGATGCTTTGTTAGGTTATGATGTCGGCGTTCACGCTATGGTCATGGCATGCTAAGTTTCTGATGTCATGGTATATGTTTATAGGTTATGTACTGTTCATGATGCTGTTGGGATGGATGATGATATGCTATGCTACGTATGATCAACTCTGTCAGTGCATGCACTGTTAATGTCTGCTCGTATATGTTCTGACATGTTATGCCATGGCATGTTCTGTCCAATTAAAGTGATATGCCTCGGTAGGTCCTGCTACGTTATAGTACGGGATGTCGCGCTCTGTCATGGCGTGATGTGTCATAATTTGGGATGGCATGGTACGTGATGATGTGCCAAATAATGGTATGTAATATCACGGCATGCTACTGTGCGTGATGTTCTGAGGTACTCTGTGTAGTGTTATACTATGTTCTGCATGCTCCGCTCTGTCATTGCATGCCTTGTTTTGCTATGCGGTGACACGATCTACTGTGTCAGATTCTGATCGGTGGCGGTGTTATGATATGGCATCTTCTGCAATGGTATGACGTATTATATCGCGCTCTGCCATGGTGTGGTCTGCCACGATACGCAATGATATCGTGTGTGAGTTTGTGCAGTGGTATAGTATGTCATGTTTTCGTATGTCGTGTTCTGCTCAGCAGTAGTGTGTTATGTTATGGTATGTTATTGCATGCTATGCTATGTTACGAGGTGTGGTGTAATGCGCAGTTCTGCCAGGTTCTGTCGTGTTCGTTGGCGGGGGTCTCGGGGGAGTCTCGGTGGACCTGGGGATCGGGCGGCCGCGGTTTGCAAAGTGGGCGGGTCGGCACGAGGCGAGGGTCTCAAGGAATTCCTGGTGAACCTGGAGATCTGGCAGACGCGGTATGCAGGGTGGGCGGGCGGGGAGGTCTGTCCTTAAAATCTAACTACCGGCGGGGCCCCGACCTGTCAGACGTCCGCGCGAATTCCTTGGATCGGCACTGGAGGCCGTTCCCTGGCGCCCCTGGCGCGCGAAGCGCGCAAGCACAGGCGCTGGAGGGGCCGCAAGGGGAGACCCCGGAGCAGACCTCAGAAATCCGCGCGAAGTTCCAACAAGTGTTTAGCTTACTTCGGGCATGTCCTCCTACAGGCGGATTTTGAAGGGAAGAAAGTCAGAACATACCAAACATAGTCAAACATAGTCATCGTCCCCAGATGAATATTCCTCCTGTAGAGGGACACGTCCGACATGATTATACAATCTGCCGTCGTCGACTCTCAGAAGTCGGAGACGCACTAACCCAGGTCGGCCAGGGCCCTGTCGCGAAGCCTGGCCGGCCGCGTAGTAGCTCCCAAAGCGGGGTCAGCGCAGGGCGTCGAGGCGGCATCGGCCCCGCGCGGCTCCCGAACCCGGGCCCGCCAGAGGGGGGCTCGGCGCGGCCCCGTGAGCGCGGCACCCCGCTGCGAGAGCCCCGACATGAAGAGCGCGCGCCTGGCTTCGTGCCGGAGCATCTCACGTGGAACTTGACCAGCGCGGTGCTGGTCGCGTCCGCCGGCGCCATCGCTCCGCCGGCCGCGCGGGGTGGTAAAAAACGATATGCTGCGAGAGCGACCCGCCGGTCGAGCGACGTGGAGGGCGGCGGCAGCGCAGAGGCAGCCCGGCGCTGCGCGCGCCGGCGTACGGCACACGCGCACACGGGCGCTCACAGGCGTGCCCGCGCACGGGCACACGAGAACAGACGCTCAAGCGCGCACATGTGTTTGTTCCGTCGGGCGCGTCCACGAGGGGGGAGTCCAAGAGGGGGGAGACGCGAGCCATGGCCCGAGGCATGTGCGCGGCCCAGGGTGAGGCGGGGGGGCGGAGTGAGAGAAGACGGGGGGGGCATGATATTCGGACGGTGTCCCCCCCACTAGTCATCACCCCCCTCTTGGCCGCACCCGAGCATACGCACATGAGAAGAGACACTCAAGCACGCAAACGTTTTCATCTAGTGGCGATGTGACGACACCGTCGCGAAGTGCTCACACAGGTTACGCTGAGGCGGATTTCCACATGGTGTAGCCGATGGGTTGACTGGGCGTGGCAATCGCGTGCAAGACAATCGCGCATACACGCACTTTTGATCGCACGCGGCCAGGATTGATCTCCGCGGGCGTCCACGGGGTCGGGGAACATGAATCCCAGAGCCGCCGAACCACACACAAACACTCACACACACATACACACACACACTTTTTGCGGTCGCGGTCTCGTGCGCGGCGACGAGGCGAAGCAAGTGGAGTGGACACACGCACACACACACACTCTCTCACACCCGCATGCACCTTTCGGCGTCGCGGGCCACGCGCACAGCGACGCGGCCAAGTCAGCAAACACACGCACACACATACGCACAACCTCACACACAGACACACACACACACACAGACACACACACACACACACACACACACACACACACACACACACGCGCCCGCGGGGCCATAACAAAACACACGCACGCGCGCGCATGCATTTTTT